GCAGGTGAAGCTATTGCAAGTGAGCTTGTTTGTTCATTTCGACACGTTCATAAGCGACCGATAAGCCCATTTGTATTCACCGGTTTGTATCCTGTCATCAGTAAATGAAGATCCAGCAGCCCAAACAACTTCGGCATATCTGGCGTTACCACTGATTGTGGGCGATGAGATCCTCGTTCACGCGGATCTGCGAAAACGAGTGTATTCTGCTGCCATGCCAGTAGATGGCGACGTCACTTTGAAAAGAAACACCACGTACATAGATGAACACGTGTTTCACGGTTTTTGTATCGCTTTGAAACCCGTTTAATTTTCAGGCCCCAGTTTTTGTGTAAATTAACGAGCAATATTTTGTCGAAAACGGTGTTGTGTTGTGTAAACAGCGCCATAGCTTCGCGTTTCTCTCTTCTTAAATTAGACTAAACCACAAAATATTGAGCTACTCTAGCTTCTGTTTAGTTATACTGGAAGAAGTATTGCAATATCAGCAAAAAAAAAAAAAAAGGTGACTCCTTTAACTTCAGACTCATTGAGAACACCTCACAATAAAGTCCTATTAGTTAACGTTAGTTAATGCATTATCTAATATTAAGTAACAATAAGCAATACAAATATTAAAGTTACATTTGTTACAAGGCCATAATATTAACAGATATTTATTTGAATGATCTATTACTAAATGTTGCAGATTAATACATGCTTTAGAAGTATTTTTCATTTTAGTTCAGGTTATCCAATGTAGTTAACGTTAACAAATAGAACCGTATTGTAAAAAAAATTGTTACATATTTGCTCTTAGCAATAGTTTTCATTAACCGTGTCATTTTTATAAAACGAAAGCTCTATATCAAAACTATAAACACTATTGTTTGTTTCACTCGAGCTGCAATTCTCTGAATAACCCTAGAATGTTATAACACTAGCATTGGAAAACCCTCGGGATGTCATCACACCCAGTTATCACCTCAACACAGTTAACACGGTTATCACTATCCCAACACTAGTATGAAAAATGGTTCACACACTTGTCTGAACCACACAATGTATAACATCTATTTAGGAAAAACTGTGTTTTCTTCAAGCCACATGTGCATCTCCTTTCCTACAGTATCGCCAGTGTTTGTTTAGTGACTCTGCTGGACTCCGATTCACTGTTGCCACATGTTTTTTCTCAGTGCAATTCTCTGCTGTGCTTTTTTTGATGAAAAACACTGGATGTCCGCATTGTCTCACTGCTCGCTCTACACTCATTAGTTGACTCTGTCTGCCCGTGTCAGTGCGTCGGCAGCTCTCCTCTCGAATCATGCGGGGGTGAACACATGTTATTGCTGTGAGGGAGTGAAGGGTTCAAGACTGAATCATTGCCTCATGTATACGACACTGGCTCAGTATATCCCTCCAATCCCTGCAGTGTGCTACAGGTATACGCCAAGTCATAGTTCATTTGACATACAATTGTATTTGGATATTTTAAACAAGATTTACAGTAAGGTTAATAGACAAACTAACATTCAAAAGTGTGGGGTAAGTTAATGAAATATACGTTTGAATCACCAATTTATACGTTGCTCACCAAGGCTGCTTTAAACAGTAAATACATCAATATTGTGAAATATTACAACTATTATTTATATGTATTTTAAAATGTAATTTATTCATGTGATCAAAGTTCCTCTAGTCATCACTGTCACATGATCATTCAGATTTGTTGTAATATTACTTAGTATTATCCCAGATGTGATGCTTCATAATTTTTAGAAAAATGCAGCGCATTTTCAAGTTTCTTTGATGAACTGAAAGATCAAAATAATCTCTTCGCAACATAAATTTTTTGTAACAATCTTTTTTGTTCAATTTAAGGTATCCTTGCAGAAAAAAAATATATTCTTCTTCTTCTTCAAACAAAGTTGTGCATATTATTAGTACATCAGTGGATTATACGGTGAAAAGCATTATTTTCTCAGTCACCCTAATTGTGTAACACGGTGGGTAGATATATTATACTGACATTTGAAAACACTGAAACATGTATGCTTTTAAGCCTATTGCACCCCATATGTTGACTTCGTTTGCAGGGGTTTGAGCCTGGGATTGCCTTAACTCTCCATTAACTCAACCCAACCTTACAGTATCTCATATGGAAGCTTGTTTCTCCCACAGAATAAAAAAATCTTTTTATCTTGCAATTCTGACTTTTTATCTCAGAATTTGGTGATATAAAGTCATAATTGCAAGTTATTAAGGCAGAATTGCGTGATATAAAGTCGCAATTGCAAGTTATAAAAGCAGAATTGTGTGATATAAAGTCGCAATTGCGAATTATAAAGTCAGTATTGCGTGATATAAAGTCGCAATTGTGAGTTATTGCGTGATATAAAGTTGCAATTGTGAGTTATTGCATGATATAAAGTCGCAATTGCGAATTATAAAGTCAGAATTGTGTGATATAAAGTCGCAATTGCGAATTATAAAGTCAGAATTGCGTGATATAAAGTCGCAATTGCGAATTATAAAGTCAGAATTGCGTGATATAAAGTCGCAATTGCGAATTATAAAGTCAGAATTGCGTGATATATAGTCACAATTGCGAATTATAAAGGCAGAATTGTGTGATATATAGTCGCAATTACGAATTATAAAGTCAGAATTGCGTGATATAAAGTCGCAATTGCGAATTATAAAGTCAGAATTGCGTGATATATAGTCACAATTGCCAATTATAAAGGCAGAATTGCGTGATATATAGTCGCAATTGCGAATTATAAAGTAAGAATTGCGTGATATAAAGTCGCAATTGCGAGTTAAAAAAGGCAGATTTGCGTGATATAAAGTCGCAATTGCGAGATATAAAGAGAATTGTGTGATATAAAGTCGCAATTGCGAGTAATAAAGGCAGAATTGCGTGATATAAAGTCGCAATTGCGAGTAATAAAGGCAGAATTGCGTGATATAAAGTCGCAAATGCGAGTAATAAAGGCAGAATTGCGTGATATAAAGTCGCAATTGCGAGATAGAAAGTCAGAATTGCGTGATATAAAGTCGCAAATGCGAGTTATTAAGGCAGAATTGTGTGATATAATGTCGCAATTGCGAGTTATTAAGGCACAGTTGCGTGATATAAATTTTTTGTCTCATTGCATGTTGATATCTCTCAATTCTGACTTTATAACACGAAATTGTGAGATTTAAAGTCCCAATTGTGTTTTATAAAGTCAGAAAGGAGGACAAGTTATAAAAACTTTATAACTTGAGAATATATCTCACAATTCTGAGAGAAGATGTCAGAATTATGAGTTTATATCATTATTTTATACAATTTCATCATATTCTTTTTCACCTTCAGCAATACACCCATACACAGACACACACACACACGTCTCCATTTTTGACTCCTCCGGTCATAATCCGCTTGTTCCCCTGAAGGTGACTGCAGTCCGGCCGGATCTGGCCGAAGCACCGGGGAGATTAAGTGGCGCTGCATTAAGTCACCTCTCCCAACCCTTCCAGCACCTCACCATTGACTTCCACCATATGACTTCCTCCACTAAATGCCACTTAAGCTATTACAGCTCTGCAGCCGCGGGCTTCTGGTGACCTGAGAGGGTGAGGACAGCGAAAGGGCGATGGGATGAGAAGCCCGCTCCTGAGACAGGAGCCTGACAGCACTGAGACTCGGGAACATCGAGGGGAATCAGCTTTCAGATTTGTCGAGTTCTGCTGACTCGGTAGAGGAGTTTAAACGTGTATTCGCTGTGGCAGCACTTGTGTCTTCGCGGCATGTCATTGTGATCCAGGTGTGTTCTGTCACCCTCGCGGCATGCGTTTCGTGGGCGGAAGCAGTATTGGAGCGAGGAACACGTTTAGTTAATTGCATTATTGTGTCATCTTGACATTTTGTTTAGACATCAGAAAACAAGAAGAAAGGCTTTGTTAAAGTGAAAGGCAAAATTAGGGATGCAGGTACTAGTGAGTCTGAATCAGCAGAAAGAGCATATTCGTCATTTAAGGTGCTCTTCAGGCATTTTTCACCCAAAAAAAAATTGTTTTTTTTTTTTTTTTAGAATTTTTTACTTCATTGGAAAGGTACGAAACTTGGTAAAGGTTTTTGGCACTTGCTATATGAACACACACGAATGAAAAGGTTAAATGGCCCTGTAAAAAAATGGTTACACTTGAGCACATTTGAAATGAATGGGAGACGAATTTTATCTAGTGGAAGCGTATGGTACTGCTGATAAGAAGGCTTTAAACAACACCAGACGATGAATGAGGGTCTTATCTAGTGAAACGATTGGTCACTTAAAAAATAAATAAAAACGTTTAAGTTTTATAAGCAGAAGCTGCAATAAGCTTTGAAGCTGCACTGAAACTGTCTTTTGGACCTTGAACCGTTTGGTTCCCATTGAAGTCCATTATTTGGAGAAAAATCCTGGAATGTTTTCATCAAAAACCTTAATTTCTTTTCGACTGAAGAAAGAGAGACGTGGACATCTTGGTAAATTATCAGCAAAAGTTTTTTTTTTTTTTTTTTAAAGTGAACAACTCCTTTAATGACTTCGATTTTCTTGCAGTTTTAGAATAAAATGTGTTTTTGAAAATATATATTTCCAAAAAAAAAAAAAAAAGAAAATTAATATTTTAGCAAATTTTTCATAACAATACACATAAAATTATGTTACTTTTTTTGAGTTGACTTTTTAAAAAATGTTGCACTCCAGCAATAATATGTCGTTTCTTTTTTTAAAAAGAGATCAAACTTAAGTCTGTATTTTAAAGCATTCAAGATTTATGACTGGAACCTAAATTTTAAGGTCTATGCTCAGAAAGTGAATAAATACAGCGTAAATATAATTTATTATTAAAAAAATCTAAAAATATTAAATAAAAAACATCATCAAACTAAAATATAGTACATTGATTTAATTGAAAAAAATAAAATAAAAATTAGACCGACACGTGAGGAGCACCAGAGGGTTTCCGCTATGATGCTGAATACTTACGTGTTCCATGAGTTCCTTAATCATCCCATTCCACTGGCCTTTATCGTCTTGAAACCCATACTTCCCGTCCTGCACCAGGTGGATCTCGTAGGAGAAGCCCAGAATGCTGGCCAACTCCTTAAGCAGGTCAATACAGAAGCCCTCAAAGCGGTCATTGCCGACGAGTGCCTTGTCAGACTTCTTAAGCATGACATATGGCTCCTCCTGTACAAATACAAAATATTGAATGAGAAGCAGCTTCAGGGTTGAGATTTCTCACACTATTCACAACACACACACGAGTGAACACCTCTGACAGCTGGCTCTGTTGGTAAAATTAGATGTTCTTGACATTATTCATACCACAAAATGTTATGTTTTTCATAGTCCATGTAAAAATTGAAGTGAGCAATTTCTATGCCACTAGTGACAAAAAAAATGCAATTTGTTTGTCTGAATAGTCTGAGAAAGCAACATTGACTCACCAAATTATGTGCTTGTGGGGCTGGACCGCCTCAAACCAGTTTGAAGCTGGTTTGAAAACAGTCATTTTTGCAAACCCCTAGTGGCAATGAATCTATAGCTTAAAGGACAAGTTCGGTATTTCACACTTAAAGACCTATTTTAAGATCGTAATCTACTACTCCTTTAAGTGCAATTTGTCACTGCAGAGATGCCTACCTAGTCCTCTTATACCACATGTGATTGAAATGCCCTTCGAGAGAATTGGAAAAGCATCTGATGGAGCCGGTGCCAAAATCGTCAAGAATATGTCTTTTAAATTGCAAATTATACAACCTAATCTATGGAGGCGTTCCCATTATAACACTGAAATACTGTTATTATGGAAACCCAGCATGTGCACATTTCATCTGTACTTTCAGCAGTTTAATCAGACATAACAACTAAAGCAAGCAGAGTCTTAAAGTGGGTACAGCTGGGATTTTTCTGCAATTTTATTTATGTACCTTGACATATGAGAGATCCCCAAGCCAACAAATGGCTTTATATCTATCGAATAACTCTTTGGACACCAGCCTTGCAACTGTCGATACATTCCCAAGGAGCGACGGCACAAGGTAGGACTTTGTCGTTTTATATTCAGTCAAGAAGGACTAGAAGGACAGAGTAATTTTGCTGATTGGCATGTGATAAATATTGAGCGTGACAAGCAGCACACATCATCAAACTGTTCAGTTTCTGGTTTATTGCTATCGTCCATTTACATTTTCTGAGAGTTGGTACTGTATCTAGCAAACAGGGGTGTGTTTCCCAAAAGCATCGTTAGTCAACTATGGTCGCAAGTTCTGTCGTTATTAGCATAGTTCAATGAGTCAGTGTTTCCAAAAAACGTAGTTCTAACTAGGCTTGGGTATCGAGAATCGAGTATCATTTGGAACCGGGACTAACTTTTCGTTTTTTCCGGAATCGTTCAAAAGTTAAAATTTCGATTCCTAGTTTCGATATTCACAGGAATAGGAAACCGCTGAACAACACCAACGAAGAAGCGTCTACCGGAAGTGTTGGCATAACCGCGCGAGTCGAACATGAGTAGCTTACGTCGGCGGTCCAAAGTGTGGCTTCACTTTTCTAAAAATAACGAAATCTCGGCAAAATGCAAAATTTGTGACAAAAGGAGTATTTGTGACAGAAGGAGTATTTTCTTCAGAAAGACCGTTGGTTAGCAAGGTTAGCTAAACTTTTTTGACCCTGCCTCTTAAAAGAATCGGAATCGCGAATCGTTAGGAACCGGAATCGAAACAAGGAATCGGAATCGTTCAAATTCAAACGATACCCAACCCTAGTTCTAACGAACATTCGCAAACAGCATCGCAAAGCTGTGTGTTTAGAACAACAGCTCTCAACCTGCGGTTATAAGCAGAGTTTCTTCTTTGCATGACATGTGGACTCAATAAATCCTTATCTTTAGCCAAATAAGCAAGCTGAGGTACAGTACAATCTATTTAATTTATTTAGAATACATACAAATGTCATTTCTGTCTTTTAGTTAGTGCTTAGAGTGCTTTAGTTAATCAAAACGTGCTCTAGTATGTAAGATCGAGCCTATGGTTGACTCTGAAAATAAGGCAAAATAACTGCGAAAAATGAGAATTAGTCCTCAGATGCCATGTCCGTAATTTATAGAAAAAAATGTAGCATTAATTCAATCTCGAACATATTCATTAAAAGAAGTTATTACATCATTAACCAACTTGGTTGAACGACCAATTTGCAACACTATGGTTTCGGGAAACCAGCCTGTTCTTACGTAAATGCGTCTCTATAACACGCATTGTGTATTATCGTGTAATTTATATGCGAAAATGAGTTTTTCCGTGCATATGAGACGCAGTTTTTCGCATGCATTTGATACGCAGTTCATTTACGTATAATACACACCATACCTAAACCTACCCTAACCAACCAATGCGTATCATATGCATGTAAAAACTCACTTTAGCGTATAAATTACACAACAATACACATGCGTGCTATAAAGACGCATTTAGTGTGATCGGGTTGGGAAAACAGTCGTGACTAGCTAGTTGATTTTTTCAACGAAGAAGTTAAGCAGCGAGTTATATTGTTATATGGGAAACGAAAGTGGAACAAGAGAAACCAGCAATGTTCTCAGATGGCATTTATTTGGACACACAACTTTGTTTTAAGCAACAAAAAAGAAGAACGTAAAATTGTCACATGTCACACCACAAGTTTCATTCTGTGTTGAGAATGGTTCTGCTTAATTTTGACAGGTTACTGAGAATTAGTCCTTGAGGAATCCGATACCTTGACCTTTGCCGTTTTTCGTAATGGACACAGATAAAGATGTTTTAATGAGGCATTATGTCAGTTATTTCAGGATTGCTCTATTTATTGCTTATGATCAAACTCACTCAAGGTGACCTTCACTCTCTGGGTTTCATCAAACATAATGGGACACCTTTCTAGCCCTGACATCATTTCTCATTTTAGTCAGAAACGAATGACACTATACAGTCAGGACAGAAAATGCAAAGTATTTCAGCTGGCAGCAGAAAGGAGGACAACAACTCCTGCACGTTCATCCTCGGATTGGATTTGAGAATCGGTTTCATTTCAATTCGATGCTTTACAGTGATATGAACAATCTTTCAAGTGGGATTTTGTCCAGATATGGGATATGAGCGTTTTGAAAGACATGGGTTTTTCCATGCAAACACTTTTGAGACCAGTTCTAGTTGTCACACTGGAAAGTTTTCCCAAGTACTAGTTCAGACTAAGTAGGAAAATTTTGATTGAGTCAGTCACAGACATAGTCAAATTACCCAAATTCTTGAAATAGCTGACACGGTTCATCAATATAATGACGGTACAATTTAAACAAAACTGACCTTGGGACAAAAATATTTGGACAAAACATCAGGTTTCATACTGTAAGTTGTCATGTTTTGTTTTGTAATCTGAATCACAAGTTGTATCTAAAGTCCACTGAAGAGCCAAACAATTATGACCAGTCACAGATTAAGCATACAGTATATTGTCGATCATCTCCTAATAAGGCCACATATTAAGTCTGAGTAGATTAAAGGGTAATAAAACGATCAGTTCTCGTGATCAACGTGTCGAATAAAGGAGAAATATGGGCAGTAATAAAGATCCAAGAAACTTTGACAAGAGCCAAATTGTTATGGCAAGGCCACTGGGGAAGAGTATCTCTGAAACGGCAAGGTTTGGAGAGTGCCTACAAATTGCCTACAAAGGCCATGCCAGCGTCAAAACTGGACCTTGGAGCATCGGAAAAAGGTTGTCTGGGACTCCCATACATCACTTGGATGGCTGTGTGCGCCATATACCTGGGAAAGATGGCACCAGGATTTCTGTGGGATGACGACAAGCTGGTGGAGGGAGTGAGAAGCTCTGGACAATGTTCTGCTGGGAAACTTTGGGTCCTGCCATTCATGTGAATGTCAATATGAATCGTTGACTTCTCCCTAAAGACTGTTGCAGACCAGGTATACCCATTCATGACATTGGTGTTCCCTGGTAGAGGTGGCCTCTCTCCGCAGGATAATGAACCCCGCCGCACAGCACATATTGATAAGGAATGCTTTGAGGAACATGAATGAATAGTTTAGGGAGTTTCCACAGCCTCCGAATTCCCCAGATCTCAATTTCAATCCAATTGGGCATCTGTGGGATGTGCTGGTCTAGCAAGTTTGATCCACCTCCACCTCGCAACTTTCAGGACTTGAAGGATCTTCTGCTAATGTCTTGGTGCCAGAGACCACAGGACACATTCAGGGCTCTTTTTAGTCCAGAAACAGGGTATTCTTTACAAAAGAGTAAGGGTGTTCCCCTTAGCCTGGCCCTGCCCTCCTACGTACTTCCGCTCAATTTTCTTTTTTTTTTTTTGTGGTGTATTCTTTGGTTTTCTCCGGTCATTTTTGTACTGGTCCAATCAGCGAACAGAGGCAGTGGCTGAGAACGATGACGTTGTTGTCGTGTGCTAGATTGAGTCGTCATACGAAATGGCCAAACCTCAGCGATTGGTTATGGCATATCCAGAGTGACTCTGGGCAGATCCAATAGTTTTAGACTTCAACAGAGAACTACAAGGAAGTTAACGCTTGTCAATGGAGCGATAACAAACTCTATGTGCAAATGAAATGTACGAGAGTCTGGTGGGACCAGGCTATGTTACCCTAGCATCCAGGCCAAATTTTCCCATTGGCCTCTCCTAATCATCCCCATATATATATATATATATATATATATATATACTGTATGGCTTCAACAATATGTGGGCGTTCTGGAGCAATATGGCCGACATTGCATCATCCAGGTGAATTGTGTACATTGGAAAAGCACTGCATTATAGTTACAAATTATTATTATTAGGCAGGAGGTCATAATGTTTTGGTTCATCTGTGTATTTGCTTATGCATAAACGATAAAGATAAAAGTGTGACAACTAGCCCCAGTTTCTCCTATAAATACAATTTAAGAAAAAATAAAGCTACATTTTGTTTGCTGACATAAGATCTCATATAAAGGATATTTATAATTTAATTTTAATATAATACTGTATATAATTTAACATGAAAAATGATATGACTTTTTTATGATAGAATGAAGGTATTTTAGGTGTAATACCTAGATAAAGCAACACTTTGTGGAAGCTGTCCAATTATCTTGATCAAAAAGTTTGTGTGGCCAAAAATAAATAAATAATAATGATACATAAACGACTATAACAGTTGCTACCATCTGTTTTAAGTCCCCAGTCTGTAATATTCCCTAAGGGTTTTGTAGCAAATCCAAGGTTTTTAATAATATCTCCCTTTTTTCAACAGGAGCACTAAGAGAAAGGAATCAGTGGAGTAAGTATGAAACTGAATAAGTTTAATAAAAGCATGGATATGTTAAATCATTCCTTCATCAGTTTAGCAATGACAACAGACAACAGTCTAAATGTTTCTGGATATTGATTTGCAATAATATGATCATATTATATTTTCACCCGGTCCAGAATATCAGATTAGGGTGAAGGTCAAGCTGTGGCTATCTAAGCCTACACTGTAAAAAATAAACCGTAAATTTTACGGTAAAAAAACGGCAGCTGTGGTTGCCAGAACTTTACCGTTAAAAATACGGTAGGACCGTTAATGGTTTTACAGACTTAACTTAAAATTTACAGTAATAAACCGTAATTTATTTTCTGATAAAATGTGGATTTACCAACTTATTGATGTATTGATATCTGTTTTAGACCATTGTAATACACTGAAAACCAACAATCATCACAGCAGTGATTAGAGTTACTTGAGCAATCACAGCTCATCACAAGTGAATACTTGTAAAAAGCAATACTTAATTAAAGAAGCTGCACAATGTCATTCACACAAACATTAAGCACCATCATGGTAACACACATGAAATTTAAAAAATGCAATAAACATTAATTTAACAACATTAAATGTAACATATAACTCTAATTTACATAACTAATTAGAAAAAAAAACAATAAAACTATGAGGAACCATAGTTATTTCAACAAAAATACATAAAATGTGAAGTGTCACAGGGAATTGTGGGAATGTCAATTTACGGTTTTTCACTGTAAATTATACAATGATTTGTTTCAAAAACTGTAAATTTTAAAAACTGTAAATTTTACTGTAAAATTCTATCACAGTTATTTACCGTGTATAGTACGGAAACTTTCTGTTTACCAATTAACAGTTTTGCACTGTAGCATTTTTACAGTATTTTACCGTTAAAATCACGGTTATTTTTTTACAGTGTATGTTTGTGATATTTCTGAAGGAACGTTTGGGATGTTGACAGACTATAATTTATATCTGTCATAATTGTTATGTGTCCAAGGTTACTATCCGTTCGTATTCATAGTTTTTTTTTTCACTTGGCCGACCCTTATTCAATTACCGTTGTTTAATGCTTAAAAAGGGAGAGAAAATAATCTTAATATAACAAAACCCATCGCCCACTAGAAACCCACTACAAAATCACTGATTATATCCTATCAAGACCTTAACTCATAATGATAGCCTTGCAGCTCAATCCACAGTTAATAACAGTGTTTATCCCTGTTGATAACTCATATGCTTGTCCAAAATAAGTCCACAGAGGCTGTTGTCGGTACCAAAAATAATCCCAAAAACAATTCTGCAACATACATAAATACAGCCCTCGGGACATCTGTGAGAATACAGTATTGAATGCAACACAGATTTATTTAAGATTTGTCATTTGTGCTATTATCTGCCAAATTACACATTGGGTAAAGCAGAATCTCACCCAGCATGCATCTGCATGTAACAGCAATAAATTAAGGCTACATGTCTATGATAAATCTCTGAAAATATCTTATGGCGGGAAACCAAATTGGAATGGGTCAGTGGCATTTTCCAATACTTGAGCTTATATAATTACTTAAGGTAACCTGTAAAAGGGTTAGTCGTACAAGAGTATTACTGATGTTTAGAGCTGTCAATAATACATTTTTTTTTTCATTGCATCATTGCCATTAAATAATCAACTGAACTGCATGATTCTTCAGCCTATAATCAATAATTGCTGAGAAAAAAAAATGCACTGTGTTAAGCTAAAACAAGTCCACAGCAACTATATTCTTCTCCTTTTCCCCATTTTTTTTATTTGAATAGTAGTAAATGTAATTTAAAGGTAAATTTAAATATTTCACTTTAAAAAATGTTTTCAAGATTTGTTATCACAACATATTTTCTTTTGCCAAATCAACTTTATAATAATTTATTTAGTTGACATAACTTATTATTTTGAGTTTCTGATGGTTAAATTAATCTACTCCATTGTATTAACTCAATTTTTCCAGTTCAATCAACTTAAAATTTTAAGGCAACCCAGGTTACTTACTTTTTTAAGTTAAACCAACAATATTTTTACAGTGTAGTAATCACAACATTTTTTTATTTTTTCAAATCAACTTAAATAATTTATTTAGTTCAGATAACATATAATTTTGAGTTTCTGATGGTTAAATTAATCTCCTTCATTGTATTAACTCACTTTTTCTAAATTTAAGGCAACCAGGTTACTTACTTTTTTAAGTTAAACCATCAATTTTTTTTTTACAGTGTAGTAGTAATAAAGTGTTTATCGGGTAGGGTTAGCAGTACAAGTATAAGGTGGCATCCATTTAGGATTTTAATAAATATAATCATAAACACTGAATATCTTGTTATTACTGCATACTGTACTATAATACACTTAGGTGCAAGTAGTATCTGCCACTATTTACAAATAGTATAAAAAACTAATTACACTATAGTGCAAAGAAAACACTGCTATTTTTCACAATTTGTACTTAATTCTAATAGTCTCTGCCATGTTGAATAAATAGCCATGTTTAATTGATAGCCTACACACATACTTATTTTTTGTCTTGCACCACAAGACTTGGTGTGAAGTTGGGGTGATGATGGCACAGTGGATAAGACACATGCCTTTGGTGTGAGATACCCGGGTTCGAATCCACTGTGAGACACCAATGTGTCCCTGAGCAAGACACTTAACCCCTAGTTGCTCCTAGAGGCGTGCGACCTCTGACATGTATAGCAATTGTAAGTCGAATAAATGAATGAATGAATGTAAATTAAGTTAAATACAGCTTAACTTTGAAAAAACACATCTCAAGACTGTGTGGCCTGCTTTTATAAGTGTGGTTTGCAGACTTGCAAAAACGCGTTGCGCTCCCATAGTAGAGAAAAACATTTACTTTATTATTATTATTTTACTATTATTTTATTAAAATAAATTGTACCAAATGTCATTCCCAAATTCAAATGGCAGAGCGAGTTGAGAACTAACACTAGCTTCAATTCAGAATCATCCTTAGTAAAACAGTCAGGCGAGATGGCTGAGGCTCAAACTTTGTTTCAAACAGGGGAAGACATCTTGTTTTGTTGATTCAGCCAGGTCAATTTATTTCAAGGACTGAGACACTGAAAGAGGCCGAGCTATTTGGCATTTCTGTGAGAGGAAATGAGAATCTGGAGCACGTGCGCTTCATTACTTGAAAAGCAGCCCATGTGCTGACCTGAGAAGAGGTAAAGAACACTACAAAGGAAAGTGAAATTTGGAGAAAGAGCTCTCTCCTTCACACACAGCATCTGGATGACCTTACCAGGATGGTGGTGATGACCAGCGAGCGGTTGGAAAGCGAGTCAGTGATGTTCATGCCGTTCTGTCGCGGGACCTCAGTGATGTTGAGCCCTCCAGATGCACTCCACTTCCCCACCTAGAAAAGAGGAGATTTATGCAGTCAGAGCGTGTTTCTCGTACCTGTGTGACCCCATCCACATCGCAATAGCCCATCTGACTGCATTAGCAGCCTGTGCTGAGCTCATCCTGAAGCATTAGCTGATTGCCAATAGGGCGGTACATGAGTAGCCAGGCCCTTGCATACACTCTGAATACATTAACATAGACGAAGGGCAATTCCACCAAAGGGGATTGCTTCTCAATTCAATTTTGCAACAGAAAATGTTGAACAGAAGTAAAAGCGGAACTTACTGTACGGCATGAATTACTATCTAATAACACAGTGGCGTTATTAAAGGTGTTACTCTTTCCCGGTGTTCAAGTACTCGTATCGCATCTTAATATGCAGGATCAGCTATAAAAGAGCCATTGGTTGTTTCATTTCTCAGCTGAAGCAGAGAAATGCAGTTGATGGAGATTTGTGGGATGGGCACAAAGCTCCCGTTCCACCACATCCCAAAGATGCTCCATTGGGTTGAGATCTGGTGACTGTGGGGGCCATTTTAGTACAGTCAACTCATTGACATGTTCAAGAAACCACAAGCTTTGTGACATGGTGCATTATCCTGCTGGAAGTAGCCATCAGAGGATGGGGACATGGTGGCCATAAAGGGATGGACATGGTCAGAAACAATGCTCAGGTAGGCCGTGACATTTAAACGATGCCCAATTGGCACTAAGGGGCCTAAAGTGTGCCAAGAAAACATCCCCCACACCATTACACCACCACCACCAGCCTGCACAGTGGGAACAAGGCATGATGGATCCATGTTCTCATTCTGTTTACGCCAAATTCTGACTCTACCATCTGAATGTCTCAACAGAAATCCAGACTCATCAGACCAGGCAACATTTCTCCAGTCTTCAACTGTCCAGTTTTGGTGAGCTCTTGCAAATTGTCGCCTCTTTTTCCTATTTGTAGTGGAGATGAGTGGTACCCGGTGGGGTCTTCTGCTGTTGTAGCCCATCCGCCTCAAGGTTGTGTGTGTTGTGCTTTGCTGCATACCTCGGTTGTAACGAGTGGTTATTTCAGTCAAAGTTGCTCTTCTATCAGCTTGAGTCGGCCCATTCTCCTCTGACCTCTCGCATCAACAAGGCATTTTCACCCACAGGACTGTTGCATACTGGATGTTTTTCCCTTTTCACAGCATTCTTTGTAAACCCTAGAAATGGCTGTGCGTGAAAATCCCAGTAACTGAGCAGATTGTGAAATACTCAGACCACCAACAACCATGCCACGCTCAAAATTGCTTAAATCCCCTTTCTTTCCCATTCTGACATTCAGTTTGGAGTTCAGGAGATTGTCTTGACCAGGACCACACCCCTAAATGCATTGAACCAACTGCCATGTGATTGGTTGATTAGATAATGGCATTCATGAGAAATTGAACAGGTGTTCCTAATAATCCTTTAGGTGAGTGTCTATCAAGAGATTTGACTCAATATTGGTGTGCAAGCTGTTTGTATAACTCTGCATTGGGACCAATCCAGCTGATTATCAATCAATGAATCTATTTCAGCCGGAGTGCTCTATCTGCCTCCAGGGATATTAGAGACATTAAAATGCTTGCTGTTAATTAATGTACAAACACACACACAAACACACACATACACACACAGTAAGAGGCAGTCAGTAGAGGGTGTTGAAATAGTAGTACTGAATAATCCCTCTAATATCAGCAGCACATAGCGAATCTGAGCAAATTTAGTGAGTTTTACACAAACATTCGCCCGCAGTGAGAAAAAGAAAGTCCGGCATGCGGACGGTTATGGGGATGTTTGCAGTAATAATCTGAACACTTCTCTCTATCTCTGTCCTGCTCCAACATATTCATAAAGCCCAAGAGCGGCCGATCTCAGAGATACACAGGTGTAATGAACCCCGATAACAGACGCATGCGACTGATTCAGAGAGATGCCACTTTATAGGGGGGTGTTTCATTATTTCAAATTGACTGCAATTAACTCAATTCATTAAACGTGATTATCAGAGAAGGGGAAATATTCATGTTGCCGAGAGGACACTTTCTTGGCCTCCTCAAAATGCATACGGATCTAAAACGCTAAATATTAAAAACGTTTTTTTTTTTTCCCCCTGAAACAGCTCTAAGAGTGAAATGTGTGTCTGTTTCTGGGAATTGCACTGCTTCCCCACAGAATTATGGGTCTTACTATTCTGTGTGCATGAGAGCATTTTTATATAATCATACAGATTGTGTGGAGGTGTTTGGTGCTGTTTACTTCATTTTTTGGCTTCTCTTAAAGCTTCTCATTGCCACAGTGTGATAGTCAAACTTATAAATGAAAACTCAATGACTAATGAAAACAAAAATAGTGTTTGTCTTGCATTACTGCTTTCCACAAAGCTACTATATTTTCGTCGCTCATTAAAGCACAAAAGCGTGTGTAACTTCAGCAGGTCATTAACAGAGGCTTGTAATTAACAGTACTTTGTACACTAATCCAATTTGCTTTATGATCCGCTAACTTATGCGTATGTTTAAACACCTCATTTGCTTCCTTGTTAGGAGGTAAATTAAACGTAAGACACAAATTGCTCTTTATTTGCACAGGAACGGTGACCATACGAGACGCGGTGCGGGAGGATTCAGTGCGCTAGACTGCGAGAACAGAAGGTTATTTGAAGGGAGTAACAATCCCTTTTCAATGATGCATTTTTGTTCTTTGGCAGCATGAACGTTTCTGGTATAATCGACTATGCAAATGAAAAGTGACTTACAGCCGAGCATTAGCAGAAGAAACCCGTTTTTAATCATTTTATCCCTCCTACTGTGCAAAAAAAGCATAAAGACTTAGCAAGTCCGTTGTTATTATATATTACTAGTATTGCGTGTGTGAGACGGTTGTTGTGTGTGTGTTTGTGTGGTGGTTTACCTTTTGAAGGCCGTCCTCTTTAAGACTCACGATGTCCAGATCGAAGTCGGTGCGCAGACCTGTAGTTCTGTTGAAGCTCAGCCGTCCCGTCAGGCCATCCCAGTGAGACTTCAAAACACACACATTTCAACAATTAAAACACACCAACATTCAGATTTAAATGCTATTTCAATCCCAATTTGAATTTAATTTAAATCAACAAAACGATGCAGATTTGTCCCAGACAGCAAACTGACATTGAATCAACGTGGAAACGACGTCTCTCATGACATTGAAACAACGTTGATTTTGCTCATCGAATTAACGTTGAGCCAACGTCAGACGCGGCATTCTTCAAAGCTAAATGAAAATCGAAAATTGGTTTGCTTTCATAACGTTGAAACAGCGCGTTGATTTCAAGTTGATTTTCCGTTAGTTTTGAAAGAATGACGCGTCTGACGTTGGTTCAACGTTAATTCGATGAGCAAAACAATGTCAGATCAACGTTGTTTCGATGACATGTTTCCACGTTGATTCAATGTCAGTTTGCTATCTGGGGTAGTACCAATTACATTTGATTCAATGAAATTTCAGTTTTTCAATACGAGTTTATGGGACATTTCAAGAAATATTATAAGATAAAAATCAACACTGAAATGTTACTTACAATTTCCATCAATTAAAAACTGATGTGCATTATCGATGAAAATGGCATTTCAATCCCAATTCAATTTCTCAGTTTTATTTTTTATGTTAATTGTATGTCATATCGTGTGAGTTTATGTGAATTTGGGGATTTTCAGTTTCTTAATATAAACTACACATTAAAATGCTATAGGACATTATTACGAGATATTTAATATAAGAAAGTCAATACTTATTGTTTTTTTAAGTGAGGTAACACTTCACTTTAAGGCTTGGCATTATGAAAGAATAAGGTCACTCTTTAGTTTGGGTGCAATTCACACTATTAACTAACTAATAACTGCAGCTTTTGCCTCCTAATTACTGCTTATTAATAGTTAGTAAGGTAGTTGTTAAGTTTAGGTATTGTATGATTAATGGATGTAGAATAAGGCATTAATATGTGCTTTATAAGAACTAATAAGCAGCCAATATGCTAGTATTATGCTACTAGATAATAGTGTGAATTGGACTTAAACCAAAGAATTTTAATGCATTAATATTGCATCTTATAATGACCTGTATAGTCTCATGAATAATTGTAATCCGTTATAATACATTATAAATACTCAAATATTTATTAGAATAATGTATTAAAACACATGACAAACAACTAATTTCAGATGTAACAATAAATCTGCAAATACTGCAATGCATTTTAACTGTGGTTACAATTTTAGGAAAAGATATCATGCATTGTAACATACATTATGAACGTCTTTATGACACTGAATTTGCTTTAGAGAAATATGTCTAAACCAACTGATGAAAATGTATTCTTCATATTAGGGAGAAAATAGGACAAATTAATCAAAATGAACGATGTAGCCTAATTTATGTTTTGTTGGACTAATGGAAAGCGTCTGTTGTGTGACTGTTGAATTGCAATTCAGTAAATTCCTCTTCCAGACATTTTAATTCATATCCCATTTCAACATCCGGCTGCGTGTGTCCAAATCCATTCAAATTCTCACCTGTGAATTGAAAAGAAGCCAGTTTTTGTCCAAACACATACTTGTGAGTACACACACACACACACACATACAGAGAGCTTCTATTTCCTTTTTAATTACATTTTACATCCCAGCGCCTCAGGCACATCTTCCCCCAAGACCTCGTCCTAATTAACGACCATCTCACTTTCAACAATCTCTAGAGACGCAGAAAAAAATGATATCGCAACTCCTCCTCTCCATTCCTCCCTTGTTCCTAAAGCAAAGAGCTCCGCCCCCAAACAACACACACTGATCTACAGCCCTCTCCATATCCTCTTCCAAATGAAACACCTCCGCTCTCGTCCATGAGCGAGGACCTTTCACTGCAAGCTTGTTCTTCTCCACATCCCTCGCTTCTCTCTCCTCTCGTCCACAGAGCTGTGTTCAACTACTCTAATCTGCCTATTACGAGTCCCAATCAAAGTCTCTCTTGTGAGCTGAAATAAGAGCTGATTACCACGAGCGAAGCACACGGAGATGAGAAAGTGGGACACTGAGTTTAGTAGAACAGAACCAACTCAAACTCGCTGCAATCAGCGTCTCACTGCACTTAAATGAGGCAATTAAAATGTGCGGTGAATGAGGGTTGTTTATCAGGTGAGATCCACTGTTGAAGCCTCTGAATAATGATGCAGTGTTTATCAGTAGTGCAGAGATAATTGGTGGAGGTGTTTGGACTCAACTAATGTATAGGAATGTCGCTGGTAAAAATACATCAGAATCAGCATCAGACATTTATTAATTTTGTAGAAAGATACCACAGGTGCATTATTCAGTATCAGTTTACCTTAATTATATGTATTAAAGTGCAAACTATTAGTTTAAAGTTAATTCATATATTATACAGTATATGATATTATATAGCATATCTCAATAGGCTACATGTCTATGCAAACAGGGAGTTCTTCATTCATTGTCACTGTAATTAACAAAATTATTGTTTATTTAGCTCATATACAGTATAAAGAGCTGTTAATGGTTATTGGGAGTAAATAATTCAATATGAATGATATGTTAGACACATTAGATACAATTCTTAAAAAAAAGAAAAACATTACATTACTGCAACTTCCAATGCATCTCTCACTACACCTGTATCTCTCACTGCATCTCTCACTGCTCCTGCACCTCTCACTGTACATGCATCTCTCACTGCTCCTGCATCTCTCATTGCACCTCTCACTGATCCTGCATCTCTCACTGCATCTCTCACTGCTCCTGCATCTCTCACTGCATCTCTCACTGCTCCTGCACCTCTCACTGTACATGCATTTCTCACTGATCCTGCATCTCTCACTTCACCTCTCACTGCACCTCTCACTATACCTGCATCTCTCACTGCATCTGCATCTCTCACTGCATCTCTCACTGCATCTCTCACTGACTCTGCATCTCTCACTGCTCCTGCATCTCTCATTGCACCTCTCACTGATCCTGCACCTCTCACTGCATCTCTCACTGCATCTCTCACTGCATCTCTCACTGCATCTGCATCTCTCACTGCTCCTGCATCTCTCATTGCACCTCTCACTGATCCTGCACCTCTCACTGCATCTCTCACTGCATCTGCATCTCTCACTGCATCTCTCACTGCTCCTGCATCTCTCACTGCATCTCTCACTGCTCCTGCACCTCTCACTGTACATGCATTTCTCACTGATCCTGCATCTCTCACTTCACCTCTCACTGCACCTCTCACTATACCTGCATCTCTCACTTTATCTCTCACTGCTCCAGCATCTTTCACTGCACCTCTCACTGTACCTGCATCTCTCACTGCATCTGCATCTCTCACTGCATCTCTCACTGACTCTGCATCTCTCACTGCTCCTGCATCTCTCATTGCACCTCTCACTGATCCTGCACCTCTCACTGCATCTCTCACTGCATCTGCATCTCTCACTGCATCTCTCACTGCTCCTGCATCTCTCACTGCATCTCTCACTGCTCCTGCATCTCTCACTGCATCTCTCACTGCTCCTGCACCTCTCACTGCATCTGCATCTCTCACTGCATCTCTCACTGCTCCTGCATCTCTCACTGCATCTCTCACTGCTCCTGCATCTCTCACTGCATCTCTCACTGCTCCTGCACCTCTCACTGTACCTGCATCTCTCACTGCATCTCTCACTGCATCTGCATCTCTCACTGCTCCTGCATCTCTCATTGCACCTCTCACTGCATCTGCATCTCTCACTGCATCTCTCACTGCTCCTGCATCTCTCACTGCATCTGCATATATCACTGCATCTCTCACTGCTCCTGCATCTCTCACTGCATCTCTCACTAATCCTGCACCTCTAACTGCATCTCTCACTGCTCCTGCATCTCTCACTGCATCTCTCACTAATCCTGCACCTCTAACTGCATCTCTCACTGCTCCTGCATCTCTCACTGATCCTGCACTTCTAACTGCATCTCTCACTGCACCTGCACCTCTCATTGCACCTCTCACTGATCATGCACCTCTCACTGCATCTCTCACTGCTCCTGCATATCTCACTGCATCTCTCACTGCATCTCTCACTGCATCTCTCACTGCATCTCTCACTGCTCCTGCATCTCTCACTGCATCTGCATATATCACTGCATCTCTCACTGCTCCTGCATCTCTCACTGCATCTCTCACTAATCCTGCACCTCTAACTGCATCTCTCACTGCTCCTGCATCTCTCACTAATCCTGCACCTCTAACTGCATCTCTCACTGCTCCTGCATCTCTCACTGATCCTGCACTTCTAACTGCATCTCTCACTGCACCTGCACCTCTCATTGCACCTCTCACTGATCATGCACCTCTCACTGCATCTCTCACTGCTCCTGCATATCTCACTGCATCTCTCACTGCATCTCTCACTGCATCTCTCACTGCATATCTCACTGCTCCTGCACCTCTCACTGATCCTGCATCTCTCACTGCACCTGCACCTCTCATTGCACCTCTCACTGATCATGCACCTCTCACTGCATCTGTCACTGCATCTGCATCTCTCACTGCATCTCTCACTGCTCCTGCATCTCTTACTGCACATGCAACTCTCACTGCATCTCTCACTGCTCCTGCATCTCTCACTGCATCTGCATCTCTCACTGCATCTCTCACTGCTCCTGCATCTCTTACTGCACATGCAACTCTCACTGCATCTCTCACTGCATATCATCATTTTTCTGGGAGGTATAGCTTGTCTGTTAAGAAAATGTAAGCATTGAGGAAATGTGTTCACTGGTGAGTCCAAACAGGGAAATCCAGTAAACCAGGCAGATGATCGAGACCACAACACAGGAAACCAAAGAGAGTGCTGAGAATTAGAGTTTGACACAAACAAGACTTTGCAAGAATGACAGGGCGAGGGCGTATAAAGGCAGAGTTAACAAGGTAATGAGACACAGTTGAAAGTAATGGCACATAATGAGTCCCGGCAATGGATTATGGGAAATGCAGTTTGTGATGAGATAGCAGTGGACAGGGTGGAGAAACAGAGATCATGTAGATCGTCTCCATCAAAGCCTCACAGTCATTTCCACTTCATGACCCGACAGTTCATTCGGTAACATTAGGCTGTTATGATTTATATGAAGTTGAATGTTGATGATCTTGTTAGCATTTAATGAAACCTAACCAGGAATATGTAGAAAATGTTTCATAAGCCCAGTGAAGCTGTCCTTTAGATTGTTTTAGCTTAACAACAGCCCTTCTAAAATCGCAGTTAACCATGGCTTCAATGCACTCATTGCTTGAATAATTGCTTATATAAGGTGGCCATCACTTTCTGGGGTCACCATATGCAATGAATGCATAAAAAAATGATACACACTTAAAATGAGCTTAAACAAGCTTCAATGACATGCAGAGAAACTAATACCATGTCATTTAAACAATATCTTCTATATCTTGTCTTGTCTCTGGAGAGCAGAAGTGTTTGTGACAGCAGTGCCATGAGCGATTGTCATTACCTCTTTAATGAAACTCATGAAGCGTCCTCCGAACCTCCAGGGTTTGTGCCGATGACACTGCAGTGAGTTGACAGTCATCTGTGGCGCGTGCTGGTAGGAGACCGACACGATGTGGACCGCGTCGTACGTCAGAGCAGCATCTGTCTGGAATAAATAGGGGGGCGATATGTCAGCTGAAAGGATCTGACAAGCGGGAAGAGTGCAAGACCTGACCAGTTGACAACCTTGTCAAACAGCAAACTGGGCCACTGCTCAGGACCATTAGCACACTTGAATCCAAATGTAAGAAGACCTTTGATTCAAGTCAGATGCTAGGAGACATTGTGAGTGAGTAAATAGGCAAAAAATAGGCAATGTTTTTATGTTGCTACCGTGGGCCCACATTTCCATGGTTGATACTTTTTGTTTTTTGATAGTGCAGAAAGGTGTGTATGGAAGTTTGTTTCTACGACAGAATTAAACAAAAAAAAAGGTAAATGTAACTTTCTATATCACACTTTTCAGAATTGCGTGATATAAAGTCGGAATTGCGAGAAATAAAGTCAGAATTGCATGATATAAAGTCGCAATTGCGAGAAAATGTCAGAACTGCGACTTTATAACACAATTCTGACTTTATATCACGCAATTCCATCAATATCACAATTCTGAAAAAATAAAATCAGAACTGCAAGATAAAAAAATCGTAATTATATTTTAAAATGTTTTATTCTGTGGCAGAAACAAGCTTCCATAGGTGTGCAAACATGAAGCAAGTTATGATCACTTCATTTACAAATCCGAAACAATTTAATTAATCAATGAATAAATCCAAATTAGATGTTTGCACTGACTGGCATTTTACTGAGTGCATCATTGTGCATGCATTCATTGTTCTTTAACTGATCTAATATTTTAAGTGTTTGACAACTCATTGTTTCTAACTTTGTGCAGTGAAATATTATATCTTTTTGATTGCTAATACTGTATAAATAAAATCTGACCCGTCACTGTGTTTGATTACACATGGGTGAGACAATATACACTGTGAAAAAAACATGTTGGTTTAATTAAAAAAAAAAAAACCTGGTTGCCTTACAATTTTAAGTTGATTGAACTGGAAAAAGTGAGTTAATACAATGAAGGAGATTGATTTAATCATCAGAAACTCAAAATAATAAGTTATCTGAACTAAATAAATTATTTAAGTTGATTTGACAAAAGAAAAAATGTTGTGATAACTAATCTTGAAAATATTGTTTTACAGTGTAGTGTAAAGGTTCTAAATGGACACATTTTAGTACCATTCTTCAAGTTGTGTTAACTTAAAAATAGTCCAACTCTTTTATTATGCACTGCTATTTATGTTGAGTATAAGAAGAAACATCAAACTGCAAACTCTCCAAAAGTGGAGCTACTCGACTTTGTTATGGCAGGAGTGTATTACAGGCAGCAGTGTTTGATTCGAGATGGAGATAAATTATGCAGGACAGTTGTCTAAGTTGGCAAACAATCTGCAAAGAACATCTTCCCCAAAAGTCCACAATGTATTCCCCTACATGGCTGTTTTATTTCCTACATTGGAAGATGGATAAGATTAATCTCCACCAACTCCAGGAGAAATGCTGGCCACAGAATAAAACCTTGTACCACAATCTGACCAAGGTTTTGATCCCCCAAGCTCAGCTCATCAAAAAACTTTAACATCTACTGTGCCTTGAGGCAAAAATACATCTGCTCTCCAACCCTCTTCAAGTTCATACTCTAACATTCCCTCTACATTAGGGATGAGCAACTCTGGTCCTAGAGGGCTTTCACTCCAACCCTGATCTAACCTGAACAAGCCAGTCAAGAACTTCAGAATTACTATAAAGGTACAGAAAGGTGAGTTTGTATCAGCATTGGAGCTAAACTCCTCAGGACAGTGACCGAAGTTGCCCATTCCCGCTCTACATGTACCGTCCACGGGTGTCCAATTCTGCTCTTGGAAGGTTATTGTCCTGCAGTGTTTATCTCCAACCCCAATTAAAACACGCCTGAACCGGGTAATGAAGGCTTTAAGGCCAGCTCACACCAAGGACGATGATAACGATAAAGATTTAGTTCTAAAAATCGTTTTCAATATGAAAGAATACCTCTTGAACAATACAACACTGACAGCCAATCAGAAACCATTCTAGTTTAAAATGGCAGACGACATTGCAGAGGAGCTAATCATGGAGGTCCAGAATAAACCCACCTGTAATGATTCCTGTCTGTTTCACTTGTCTCGTGTGAACTTTTGCTATTTCCTGTTCCGTGCTATGTTTTGTAGTCCTTTGTAGTTTTTCTTGTTGATGAGTTCCCCCAGGTGTTTCTGATTAACCACGCCCCCTTGTTACCTTGTTTAGCTTGTTTGTCTGTGTATTTAAACCTCTGAGCGTCGGTCGTTGTTTAATGTTATGCTGTTTTGAGGTCCCTGGTTTGTGTTCCCTGTTCTGACCCAGATAGCAAATTGACATTGAATCAACGTGGAAATATGACATCGAAACAACGTTGATCTGACATTGTTTTGCTCATCGAATTAACGTTGAACCAACGTCAGACGCGTCATTCTTTCAAAACTAACGGAAAATCAACTTGAAATCAACGCGTTGTTTCAACGTTATGAAAGCAAACCAATTTTCGATTTTCATTTAGCTTTGAAGAATGCCGCGTCTGACGTTGGTTCAACGTTAATTCGATGAGCAAAATCAACGTTGTTTCAATGTCATGAGAGACGTCGTTTCCACGTTGATTCAATGTCAGTTTGCTGTCTGGGGAGTTTATCCTGTTTTATTTGTTTGGTGGATTATTAAAGTGCTTGCGTTTGGATTCGTCCTTGCTTCATCATAACACCACCACTGTTTGACAAGTCAAGCCTCCTTTTCAAGAAAATGGATATGGAAAACAATCGTTCAAATCCTCTGAATAAATGGTGAGAAGTATTACCTCGGTGCTCATTTCGACAACATTGTCTTGCTTCCTTTCAAGTTGCGGTGAAAAAGCATATTCCACTATGTTGACCACATGAGCTAAAATTCACTGTTATGTTATAAGCTCGGTTACACTAGCTTCACTCAAAACAGGACATCTGCTGGTTAAAGCAGTGTAAATGCAACAAGAACAGCAAAAAACATGTTCAATGACGTTGAAACCGCAGCGCGCAAGCTTAGAATAAACAGACCATTATCGTTCGTTGGTGTGGACGCAAATATAGTCATAGTTCTCTTTATCTTGGTGTGAATGGATTGCTAGAAACTTCCAGGCAGGTGTGTTGGGGCGAGTTGGAGGTAAACTCTGCAGGACGTTTACCCCTTCAGGAGCAGGGTTGGACACCCCTGACATATACCTTCTGGAAATCGATACACACAAGAATACACACTGTCTACTGCCTCTGGTGACCCATGAAAGAACCAAAACACTCAATATATTCAACAACTCTGCTACTGTCACCAGCCACTTTTTTTTCCAGCAAAGACTTCGGACAATGAATGACAAGCAAGTAAATAAATGGTGTAGCATCCACTTGCTCAGTCTCTAACACATCCTATTGCGTGTGGCCATTGTTCAGGCAATGTGAGCTGCTCTAGATCGAGCGTGTCTGCAGGAAGGATGGGCGTTCATTCAGATGTCCTTTATATCAACCTCGCCATTGGCTTCGGGTAACTAGGCAAAAAGTTGTTGTGATATGACAGCTGTGGGTATTAAGAGAGTGTTGGGAACATGAGACCAGATGGAGAAGTATTTTCAGTCGATAGCTGGACATGGACAAATGTATTGGTTTCAATGGACTGTATTTAAACATTCAGCACACAGATGGATGTGGGCAGGATATACTGTATATGCCTCACATCAGTCTTTTTAGCTGTTCCAGATGCAAAAACACCACCTCCAGGGTTTTCAACCTTGCACAAAAGTAATAAAGCAGTTCGTCTTGATAGTGTTATCCACGGATTTCAGTACTTCCCATTCATTAACTAGATTGTGAATATAGAATATAAACATCTCATAATAACATAAAGCTCTTTAATGTCGTGTTTTGCACCATAAACTAAAATCAAAAGCTCGATAAGACTGAGTCCTTATCAAATTGCAAAATTGTTTGCGCCATGCAAAGTGATAAGCACCGTTCACAGTGAACGGATGCAGTGAATTCCACTTGTGCATGTGTCGAGTTTAGCATGCATTATTTTAAACATTCGCATAGTTGACGATTACAGCATTTCACTAGATTTGTAATGAGACATGTTTGTAAACTTGTTTTCCTGCCAAAATAAAAGCTTGACTGCAATTTCTGCCAAAATAAAAGCTCACAGGTGTATCTCTTGCAAGTTCAGAAGGACAAAATTAATTATAAAAGCTCCATTTTTTTTTTCATTATATGGCTATTACTGTCAAAGGATATTCAAATATATTATTATTAGTAGTAGTGGTGGTAATAGTATAATGTAGACTGAGAAAATATGTTCCCGTTTAAAGTTTGGTTACAAGACTTTTTCTTTGTTCAATTGGCACTCTGAATATGGGTTGGAGCTCTTAAATTTGAACTCTAAAAAGTGCACCAGATTTATACATTACAGAGGTCCACCCACCAGTTTCACAAAATCCTGTGGGAAACACTGATGTACTGTATATATGAAGCACAAAGCCATTTTGTGGAAGCACTGAAAGCATTTTTTCCTATAATAACGGTACTCCTCTACATCAAAATAATCAGAGATTCTACAGCATGGTGTGGGAGTATTTGAACTACTGTGAAATAGATTAATAGATAATCAGAGAAGCCATTTGGTTGAAACAAGTCTTTATGATATTATGGTATTCAACGATGGCAAGCGTATGGAATGATTAAATCTGAACCGTTGCAATCTTCTATTATCCAGCAAAAAAGTACAGGGGTTGGACAATGAAACTGAAACACTGGCCAATGTTGGAGGTTTCACATCTATATGCCTGGCGGCCAATCTTCAGAGTGAAGCACGGGTGGATCAGTGATGGTTTGAGCTCCAATATCATGACAATCCTGATTGTCAAAATGAGGCCCTCACCATACTAAAAAAATATTGAGTTGTAAAACAAAGGTGTTTCAGTTTCATAGTCCAACCCCTGTAGATACTGCACTCGAGTATCTACTTCTTTTCATTACAGACACCTAATCCATCTGAAACGGTTCAGTCTTGGAATACATTCATGAAGAAATAGCTCCTTAAAGGTTATTTTTAAGACTTTGGCCATGGATTCGATTGGATACAGCGAAAGTGGAACCTATTCCAAGCTTTTGTGTCATTGTTTAATTTGGCATTTCATTTGTGGTTAGCTGGCACTGACATTCAGGGAGAAAATGGAAGCATACCGTCATGATCCCTTCCAGGAGACCGGAGTCTGGTTTGGGGGGAATCTGCTTCTCGAGGGACCACTTCTCCACAATAGTGGCAACCTGAGGATTTTCCACGTTTAGTATGCGGAAGCCGGTCATGTTGACGCCACAGAAGCGGTACGGCTCCAGGTTTATGGCCATGAGGTCCTAGAGGAAGGGAACGAGAGGGAGAAAAGATATAACGTAACCCTCCCGAATCGAGCTTCATTGTTGCTGGGCGAGAGGCTTCTTGTCTCTTTGTCCCTTAATAAAAGCAGGAGATAGAGAGAGGGGGGCTTGAAATGAAGATAGACAGAGCAAAAATAAAAGAGATTAAGGATAATACCATGCTTTTCCAGGGGGCCTAGGTACATCCAGATGAAGCATGGTAGGACGTACACCTCTTTGCCAGCGTGGGTGATATCATAGACAGTGAGCTAGGAGTCATCCGCACAATAGCTGATTGAAACAGTTATTTCCTCTGTAATCCTGTCTTCATTGCTCCCATCCAGCGAACTGAACCGTAAACACTTCACACCGCTCTCAATGCCGACCTGACACTGAAACGCATTACTGTGTCGGGGCATTCAATGGTTTTTAACAGTGTGGATGCTTCAAAAAAGAACCCGAATTTCACATTCTCAATGCAATGACGTTGGATGAAACAGTCTGACAATTAAATTGCTCGGCTGGAAAATAGCATTAAGATTAAGCGTAAATTAATCGGAGTCTTTTGGTCTGCGGTCAAAACGATAGCAAGAAGACACGGGGTTCTGGAAAGCTGAGAATGAATGGCGAAATGAGCAAGACCATGTTCATTGAAAGGACGTCCCGTAATGTGCTGAGGCTAATTAACCCTAGTACAATACTAACACACACCCACACTGTACTGTAGTGTCTGGAGTGTTATTCCGAGACTGCGTTTCTTGTACCATCCTACATATTGCCAAACATGTTGGGAAGGTGGGGGTGGAGACGAGATGTAGTAGAACATAATAGACTTTTTCATTAACACCCTGTGGGGCTGGAGCTGCTGGAAGACGAGCAGGAAAAGCGCATGCAGAAAAAGCCCCAAGAAACAACACTTTTTGGGCTACAACACAAAAGATTTCTGCTTAAATGTAATGGAGGATCTTATCATTGGTGTGTAAGCCATGATTGATGCTCAAATGCAGCCGAATTGTAATTGGAATATTATTTGTGAATAGCCGCATTGTTCGTTTTATTATGCCTCAGATGACGGGGTCTTAGCAAACATCGTTGTTCGGCAAAACCAAAACGCACTGGGCAACTCCCCTTAAAATAAACACATAAGCACGTTTGATTGATTGAACTAGAGAAATATTCAATAATATGACAAATATGTCAGGTTCCTGTCAGCGCCGATAGTCTCGAGGTTAGCGACGACATATAGAGAGCCTAAGTCCCTCCCCTTCCGGTTGACCACCATGGGACCTTATTTCGGAAAAATATTGAATGGTAGTCAATGGCGAGAGACAACAAATATGTTGATCTGGTTTTAATTATGCCCTGAATTACACATATGATGTTTGTCAATTTAAAAGATACATTTTAAAGTAAAGAAAGTCACAGTTTGATGTAAAACCGTTGAGGTATAAGACTGTGAAAATACGTAATTACAAAGACTACAAACCCCAGAGGCGCACATTTTCTCTCAATGAATGAAGTTAACTTTACTGAGGCTATTGTCTGTCATTGTTTCTACAGTCTTTCGTTATAATCGTAACGTTACGCCGTCCTACCTGAGTGTTTTGTACCAGACTGCACACACACGAGCAGCGGATCTCGTTTCGCTTCCCGGGAGATGTAGTTCATAGAGCGATTCTCACATAAAACTAAATGTTACTCTTCTGTTTTATGACAAACTGCAACGTTTTTGACTTTCAGAATTATCTTTTAAATTGACAAACATCATATGTGTAATTGAGGGCACGGTTCAGACGGAATAAAAAGATAAGTTGTCTCTCGCCATTGACTACCATTCATATTTTTTTCCGAAATAAGGTCCCATGAGCCGGAAGCGGAGGGGCGGGACTTAGGCTCTCTATAGCGCAACTGTGCCTACAAAAACTCGAGTTCGATTCCCCATTTTGTGTCCTTTGCTGATCCCGTTTCCCATGCTTTCTTGACAAAATCTGTACCGTCCTATCCAATAAAGGCCTAAAAAGGCCCCCAATTTTTATTTTTTTTGTTATGCTCTTCAGCTGTTCATTGTGTTGCGAGGGCATAATGGAGAATAGCGTGTCAAGAGCGAGTGATTTCAATGTAAAATCAATGCAAAGAAGTGTTACGCGCGTAAAAAAAATTCCCGCAGCGCTAATGAGGCGTAGAGTGCGGCGCGGTAGACACAAATATTCGTGCGAATGGCACGAATTGAGCGTCTGGCGCGTTAAGCATGAATTATTTAGTTGGTGCTATTCGTGCATTAACACGTTTGACGTAAATTCGCGCCTGCCGCCCGAGTTGAAAAATCTGAACTTTGGCGTCATTTCGCGCCGCATTAACTAATCAGGAGCCTGCTGCTTGCTCGCGTGGTGAAGTATCTGGATGCTTCAATAAATTATTTTGTAATATGAATAAATGCCTAGTGTGGTTCTAATGCACAACAAAGCAAATATTTTATCACTTAAATTGTATCACTTTAAACTTTATTCCAATATACGAGACATGTTCATTTTGTATTGAATGTTATTTATTCCATATCTAGGAATTCAAAAAAACTCCATCTAGTCGTTCCAGTTGCATAGTTCGCTGGTGCTAGGCTAGCGCGAGTCAACAGTAACTGGCGAGCTATGCAACTGAAACGACAAGGATGACATTTTTTGAAAACTTTTTGAGGCTAACTTGGAAATAAGGCCGAATGTCCAAAATTCTCATCCACCCCTTTAAGGTCTTTGAGGAAAACATTACAGGATTTTTCTCCATATAGTGACGTCATGTGTGTTCTGGTTCAAAAATGAAGGGTAGGGCAGTGAAGGTAAAATGACTCATTTTCTCCTCCAACTTCAAAATCATCCGACATCATTGTTTTACCTTTTATTTTTTTATTTGTAAATGGTGATTGACTTAGTCTTTGCACATTTGCTTTGTAAACACTGGGTTGGTACTTCCGCCTACGTCACGCTTGACCTTTCAACGTGATTATGTGATAATGTGTGTCGCATCACAGCTAGTGCAAGACCAGCATTTGTGGTTAAAAAGTATATAAATATATACATTTTTTTTAATAAAATGGCCGCTGGTTTCACTAGATGAGACTTTTATTCCTCGGCTGGAATCGTGTTGAGACTTTGAAGCTGCACTGAAACTCACATCTGGTCCTTCGACCCGTTGGACCCCATTGAAGTCACTATATGGAGAAAAACCCTGGAATGTTTTCCTCAAAAACCTTAATTTCTTTACGACTGAAGAAAGAAAGACATGAACATCTTGGATGACATGGGGTATAGTAAATTATCAGGAAATTTGAACTAATCCTAAAGTGAACTAACGACACTAATTATACAGTCATCGACCGCAGTGCCTTTATAGATGAATGATGTCTTATAGACCTTTTAGAGTTGCGGGAACAGGAATTGTGATGGACTGTTCTGAGGAGCTCAAATACATCACTGTTAACTTTTTTTGATTTACTAGATCATCTGAATCAGAATTGATAATATTGTCAGGAAGGATAAAATAGCAACAATAAAATCACTTTTGTGTTGTTCGCCTAGAAAGACACGGCATGAACACAGTAAAAACCTGGAATCAAATCCAGACTCAATATCACACCAGGAAGAGTGTCATGACCAAAGTGTGATTATTGTGGTCACACAAGCGTGTACAGAGGTAAAGAAAATCTAAGCACTGTCCCAAAAATCCTCATGTGTGTTAATTTCTTACCCCAGGGATTCAGAAAAAAAAGATCTTCCATCGCTAGTTCAACGTGCATCCAAGCCTCCGTTACTAATTAGAAAACATGATGTTAAGAATATGTAAAAAATAAAATACTGCAACAGTATCAAACATGATTTACCAACAATTAATGTGCAAATTGTTATCAAAAATACAAATATGTATTTATTTATTTGTTATTTATAAATCTACTTGGCTCAAAAATTGTACCATGCATAGTTTGATTGGGTATTTTCAGGGAAAAAAAGGCACTGATATGGTTTTTGACCATTTGATGTATCTTTTGGCAGTAGCTTTGTATGCCAAGAGTAAATATAAAAGGGGGTGTCTATTTACAGTAAGTGTAGTAAGCCATTTTCACTAACTGTGTTTTTCATATATTTTACCTTTAGTACACACAGATCAATGAATATGTATTATGCAGTGTATATGTTACTTCTATTTAAGCTTTGAATAACTTCTATATGACCATTTGCATTTTGTGTGAACAAGATCTGTTAATACTTGCAGCAAACAGTTCTACCACTACTGTTATATTTAATGTAAAGAAATGCTACCCAAAAATATGAACAAATTCAAAGCTTTAGAAACGAAAAAATTCTAAAATGTAGTATTTAATAAATATACAGTATTTTTATAGTTACATCTTCCAGAGATCAATTCATTAGATCTGTGATCAATTATTTTTCATTATTACGAAAAACACAGTTGATTGGTTTTCATAGTGCTAATGTTCATTAAAATGAATTAGTTAAATAGAATTTATTTTTAATAAAAAAAATCTAAAACTTAAAATGAAGGTTGAAAATATAAGAATGAAGCAAATTCAAATTATGAAGGAAATCCATAATAAAATAAAAAATCGGAATATGTTATATAATGTCTGAGGTTCAGTGCTGCCTTTGTGAAGCGACTCACTATGTTTTGTACAGAAACATGTTCAAGAGATGTTGTGTTGGCATGTCCAGAAGGATTTCTCTGAACACAGTTTGTGTTTATATATATATATATATATACGCCATGAGCATCAATTGAAACTCCATGAGCGTCAGAATCCAGAGGCAATGCACAATTGTCATTCACTTTGTCGCCTTTGTAGAAGCTTTTCAAAGACGTTCTGTTGATTTGAGCTTGAGGGAAGGGCTAATGTTTACACCAGGGTGGAGGAAACTCCATTAAGGCTGTTTTGTCAAGTGAAATTGATATTGTAGACCTGATCCAAAGCTCATCTGCAATTAAAAGCCATTCATCAAAAAATAAAGTGGGAGTAACACAGGAACAAATGACATTACATTTTTATGTTTGTACATTACCAGAGTGGTGAAGATGTAGTGATAGTACTCAGTCATCATCCCCATCATCTGGGCCTGGAGGAAAAGAAAATGAAAAAGGTTAGTGTGTCATGTCAGAGCAATCTGCAATCATTGTGCCAGCCAACACAAAGAATGTACAACCAATGAGACTGTGACTATTAAGAACTCTTCAACTCTGCTGATCTATCGACGTCTGTCAGCCTGTGTCTCTGTTATACGGCACTACAGCTTTATAGTGCTGAGGGCCTTCAACGCTTGGGGAAAAGTTGCTGCCCTATTTTTTTTTTTTTTTTTTAAGAAATTAACTTGAATGTTTAAGTAATTTCAATTACATTAAACTGGCTTAAAAAAATAAGTTAAAATATAAAAAAAACTTGAAAAACTTTACTCATTACTTGATGAGTTGAAGCAATGTAAAAACATATGTTGTCATTACTTATTGATTTTTTTGTTTTTTGTTTTTTAATGAAGGTAAGGCATACTTCCCCCCCAAAATGCCAAAATTCCAAATTTTGTTATTTTTATTTTTATTTTTTTACCCAAAATCCATGTTTTCAGTTCTAATTTTTCTGGATTCCATTTTAATGGTTTAATGAAATTTTTTATAGCGTTTTTTTTTGTTTTGTTTAAGTGTCATAAATGTTGACCTTGTCACATAATTATGACTAAGTAACTCATAATTTCAGCTTTTATCTTGATTTTTTTGTGAATATGATCTTTTTTCCCCATAATTATTAAATAATTATCATAAATGGTGACCTTTTCTCAAAATTATGACTTATCTCAAAATGTTAACATTTTTTTGTCTCATTATTAAAACTTAGAATGTCACAATTGTATACTTTTCTCATAATTATGACAGTATCTCATAACTTATAATTATTTCTTAGTATGTCATAAATGTTGCCATTTTTCACAAAAAAATACTGCATCTCATAATTTCAACTTTTATCTTATAATTAATACTTAATTTGTCACACAGGTTCACCATTTGTCTTATTTATGATTTAGTATCTCATAATTTCAACTTTTATCTCATATTTTTTACTTAATTTGTCAAACACGTTGACCATTTGTCATAATTATGACTTAGCATCTCATAATTTCAACTTTGATCTCAAAATTGTTACTTAATTTGTCACACATAATTTCAACTATTTGTCATAATTATGATTTACCAAAGTAATTTTTTTTTACTTATGTTGCAGAAATGGGATTATACAGAGAATGCGGGGTTAGAAAAATCAGGCAATGTAAGTGTCCGAATACTTTGTGGGTCCGTCATACAAACACTATTTCTTATCTTCATCAGCCTGAAATATAAATACTTTAGCAAACACCAGGATGTCAAATAAGAAACTTAAGCAGTTATTGAATGAAATCAGTGTTTTATACAGTATGTACATTTCAGGAGGTGCGTTTACAAAGTTGTCCTTCCAACACAATAAAAGTTAGTCTGAAATGCTCGCATCTCTCTGGAGAACGTACAACCTCGGGTCAGACGGGGACTGGATATGTGTTTCTGTTTATAGCACGAGAAGTCTTTCTTCCAGTGTCTCGAGACAGGATTTTGCGCTTTGTTTCATGCCATATGATGGATGAAAATTTGAGTGATATTGTGTGATATCCTTAAAAACACATTTTAATTATCTTTTAATTAAGTGGATTCTACTTTACAATAGTAATGCATAACTTCTTCAAGTCAAACCAAACTTATATTCCGGTGGTTTGTAGCAAAGCCCTTTGAGTTTCTCAGTGCATCTGGTGACAGTTTTATCAAATGATGAAACGCTCGTGAGCTCTGAAGATGAACTTCACGTCTTCACCAGCAGACGCCGGAAACACTGCGAGTGTCCCGCGGGATTGGGAATGTGTAGTAGACGTACACACAGACTCGATTTCAATAGCAGTCTTTTTGCAGAGACACTAGTCCATATCACCATTTGAGTAAATGAACAGCCCCTCTTTTTTATGTATTCATCTAAATGTGTCAAAACTATATTGAACAATAAATTCCAGTTTTATGACTGGAGCTCTCCGCACCGTGGACATCATAGGGCCCTTATGATTGTGTTATATAGGCCTATTGGTCACAGCAACTCTCAATACATGTTCTTACAAATGCTCACTTTTCCCTTGGTGTTCATATGTCTGCTTTAATTATGCAATCTGCCATGAGGAACAGCCAAGGTTATGGTGAACTCTTTCCCTCGTTTAAACCAGAGTCACTCAAGTTTGTGGAAAAGTCAGAAGCTGTTTCATTTCCTAATGGGCTGCAGAAATAAACCCCTCGTCTGTCTGTGCCTGTACTTTCTATATTTCCCAGTCCTTCACACACACACACACACACCGCTTTTTAAAGACTCCTGGGATTTAGCCCAGACATCTCAGACAGACTGTGTGTCCGATTGTGTTTCCACTTTCTCTCTGGCCTGAGGGGGAGAACATGCGCGACAGAAGTTCAGGAGAAGCTGACAGAGAAGAACGAGCCTCACACAGGTGCTTATTAACAGGACTCGGGACACAGAGAATCACACAACTTTTTCATATGACTAAATGTGAAATAATACAGCCTACAGTTAAACCTGGAAGAATATGCAGAGGCGTCAAAGCTGAATGAAACGAAGCGTAAAATCCCGTCTCGAGACACTGGAAGAAAGACTTCTCGTGCTATAAACAGAAACACATATCCAGTCCCCGTCTGACCCGAGGTTGTACATTCTCCAGAGAGATGCGAGCATTTCAGACTAACTTTTATTGTGTTGGAAGGACAACTTTGTGAACGCACCTCCTGAAGTGTATATACTGTATAAAACACTGATTTCTTTTTTGACATCCTGGTGTTTGCTAATGTATTTATATTTAAGACTGACAAAGTTAAGAAATGGTGTTTGTATGACACCCGACAAAGTATTCGGACACCATGCATACTCCGTATAATCCCATTTCTGCAACATAAGTAAAAAATTACGCTTTGGTAAATCATAAAAAGTTGAAATTATGATATGCTAAGTCATAACTATGACAAATGGTCAACATATGTGACAAATTAAGTAATAATTATGAGATAAAAGTTGAAATTATGAGATGCTAAGTCATAATTATGACAAATGGTCAACATATGTGACAAATTAAGTATTAATTATGAGATAAAAGTTGAAATTATGAGATGCTAAGTCATAAATATGACAAATAGTCAACATGTGTGACAGATTAAGTAATAATTATGAGATAAAAGTTGAAATTATGAGATGCTAAGTCATAAATATGACAAATAGTCAACATGTGTGACAGATTAAGTATTAATTATGAGATAAAAGTTGAAATTATGAGATGCTAAGTCATAAATATGACAAATGGTCAACATGTGTGACAAATTAAGTAATAATTGTGAGATAAAAGTTGAAATTATGAGATGCTAAGTCATAATTATGACAAATGGTCAACATGTGTGACAAATTAAGTATAAATAATGAGATAAAAGTTGAAATTATGAGATGCTAAGTCATAATTATGACAAATGGTCAACATGTGTGACAAATTAAGTATTAATAATGAGATAAAAGTTGAAATTATGAGATGCTAAGTCATAATTAGGACAAATGGTCAACATGTGTGACAAATTACGTAATAATTATGAGATAAAAGTTTTGAGAATTTTTTTTGAAAAATATCAACGTTCATGACATACTAAGTAATAATTATGAGACAAAATCCTTAAGTTATGAGATACTGTCATAATTATGAGAAAAATATACAATTATGTCATTCTAAGTTTTAATAATGAGACAAAAAGTAAAAATTATGAGATAAGTCATAATTTTGAGAAAAGGACACCATTTATGATAATAATTTAATAATTATGAGAAAAAATGACATTCTAATTTAAAAAAAAAGTTAAAAAGCTGAAATGATGTGTTACTAAGTAATAATTATGTGTCAAGGTCAACATTCACAACACAGTAATAATTATGAGATAAAAGCTGAAATTATGAGTTACTTAGTCATAATTATGTGACAAGGTCAACATTTACGACACTTGGTAATATTTATGAGATAAAAAGTCAAAATTATGACAAAAAGCAACAATTATGAGTTAAAACTCAAAATTATGACAAAAAGTATTTGTTATTTGATATAAGTATGACTGTCAATTATTATCTCATAATGATTTTGTAGAATGTCATAATGTTTACTTTTTCACTATATCATTCTGACATAGTATCTGATAATTTCAGTTATTATCTCATTATTATGACTTAGTATGCCATAATTTTAACTTAGTATCTCACAACTGTGACTTTCATTTACGTATTTATGTCATAATTTGGTCTTTATCTCATAATTCTAACTTGCACAATTGTATATTTACATTTCATAATTATGACTTCTATATGTTTTTTTTACTTTTGATCTCATTATGACTTACTATCTAACAATTTTGACTTCAAAGGCATTATAGACTTGGTACGATTTGAAAGGATAGGATTTTGTCTGAACACGTACGCCATGCATTTGTGTTACTTAAGTGTACTTTGGGCTTTCACAACATTTGACCATCGGGTGCATTGTGCTGCTATAGACTTCATGTATGCAAACTAAGAAACTTTAGTTGCCTTACAATCCTTTGATGTTTGTCTCTCTAAGAAATATGAGAGCAGCCGGCGTCTTCAGACACATGATGCTCGAGCTACAGCGGCGTACAACACGTCACTGCACACTCACTGTCCTCTTCATTTTCAACAGCATACAGTATCTATTATTTTAGTCTAATTTCAAATGACAGCTTGTGGTATATTTCTTTTTTACAAATATCACTTAAAAAATACTAAGGGTGCTCTGGAAGAAAACCAAAAAATACGTGTGTAAATCCTCCAGCAGGCTTCAATTTGGACCTTGAACCGTTTGGTTCCCATTGAAGTCCATTATATGGAGAAAAATCCTGTAATGTTTCTTCAAAAACCTTAATTTCTTTTCGACTGAAGAAAGAATGACATGGACATCTTGGGTGACATGGGGGTGAGTAAATTATCAGCTAAACTTTTTTTTAAACGTGAACTACTCCTTTAAGGGCGCCAAACAACAGACAAACGATCTAACTGCTTAAAAAATGCCATTGTTTTATATTCTGTTTCTGCAATAACATTTCTACACTTGTAAGAGAATACTGTAGTTCATCAGGTACACAGTAGATGTTCACACGTACTGTATGTGGAGTTTAATCTCCATTCTGCCTCCAGCAAAAGCATATATAGCATATTTAATTTAAAACGCCAGGTCCCGAATCCAATCCTTTTCTGGAGCCAGACTGAAGCGACTGAAGTTGTGAGAGACAGCATTGCATCGTGGGATACGAGTGTGGACTCACTTGCTTGAGGATCTGGGCAGCCATGATGTGGCTGCAGTCGAAGATAATGCGAAACTCTCTGCTTCTCTTCATCTCTTTGAGCAGAGGTCTGGTGTCGGTGGTGTCCAGCGGGAGCTGCCGGATCTTCAGTCGGATGTTGTACCGGGACGGAGCCATGATTAACTCCTGGAGTCTGATCAAACCTGCACAACAAGAGTCCAGTCCATTACTTGATATGTAGGAGCAGCTCAAAGCAGATTTACAAACATGATAGCTGGAACAAGATGGTCTTTGATTCTGAAATCTACAACAAATTAAATTTTTACATTTTTGGTCAAACCGTTCTTGTCTGTCAGTCATATAATGCAGGTCTATGGTCACCACCTCAAAGAGCATGCACAGAGAAGTCCAAATTAAACATGATTTAATGACTTGTAAATGTAAGTACACATTGATGGCCTAAGACACGAAACGAGCGGTTTGTGTGAGAAAATGAACAGTATTTATATCGTTTTTACCTCTTGTAATCATAGCCACGTCCAAGTGATCTGAAACAGTTGTCCTTTAAAAGTTAAAAGTACTGGACATTATCTGCTAAGTTCAAAGATATTTCCTTTAAACCTAAAACACAATATATATATATATATATATAATTTTCTTATTCTAAAAAAAAAATATTGTGGATTGCTATTTAGGTTTATTTTTATTTCAGATTTATTTTTGGTTTTATAGTTTCAGCTTATTGCCAAGCAGCATTTTTAATTTCTGTTCTGCTATATATATATATATATTGTTTTTAAATGGCAATGAAGATTACCTATTAATTGTCATTTAATGGCAATGAAGATTACCTATTAATTGTCATTTAAGTGAAATTACTGAACTTAAATACACAATCTTGATAAAAATGGACATTCTAGAACAAAATTTCAAATGGCACTTAGAGGCTTTTGCATCTGAACTCTTCATATATATATATATATATATAAATGTGTGTGTTTGTGTTTATATCACATTTGTAGCATCTCAGATGAACTTCTATCCAATCCCCGTCCCTGTCATTGCTTGATCACTTTGATTCTGCTTGTGTGATATCAAAGCCTGAAGACTCAAGCTGACAGCAACAGGAACATCACGAGAGTCTCCGGCTTCTTATCACTGAAGGACAGTCTCTACTCTGAGGACTTCACAGATCCTCGGCATGAAGACGTAAACTCTCACCCGTGCTGTCGTCGTAAACCACCGTGGCCGTCTTCCACTTGAGGAACTGCACCAGGTCTAAGATAGCGTAGCTCAGGGAAGAGTAATCCGGGTACAGGTTGGCGTAAAACGAGTCCCTGTTGTCCATCGGGTGGTGTTTCCATCGCACCTGAACGTGTGGCACCTCCAGGGCATTGCAGATGGACTGAACAGCGTTGGATGAGGAGCTGTGGGACGGCCCGAAGATGGCAACCACACCTAAAGACAACTGGTCACACGCTGCCGACGGGAGAAAGACACGTCACTGCATGCAGAATAAGTCAAGACACCTTCATTTATACAGCGCTTTCAACAATAAAGACTGTTTCAAATTCAAAGCAGCTTTACAGTGATAATAGCAGATTACAGTAACCGAAATTGGCTTTACAGCAAAAGTGTTTTGTATGAACACTCCGTATAGACACTGACAGACTGTGAACTGTGAATGTATCAAAGATAGAAGACATTTCATTAGTTTGATAACAACTGATTCTTTAAGACCCCATGAAATTGTTTGATGAACACAGTTGTCTTGTCTTTCCTACTGAAATATGAAGTTGAAAGGCTGTTTTATATTGTGTGGAACAATGCATTATGCAATTTGCAGAAGCATACTTATTTATGTACGCTTTATTTAGATGGTCGCCAACCTTTTTATTGCACTTAAAGGTTTTTTTGAATGAATGTGTTTGAATGCATACTATAGATAGCATGTGTGAGGATCACATGTCGGACGGGGAGGGGAGCTGGGACAATCTAAGATGTCACACTGATCAAATGTATCTATACACTGAAGGGAAGTTTCATAATATGGAAAGTGGACCGTGTTTAAGCATGAGGTATATATTCCATTTTTAAAGCTCAAGCAAAATGTTTTTATACCTTACAAGGGAGTTGTAAAGTCCCTCAGTGGTGTATATAAGCTAAATCCTTACTGGATTATGGCAGAGAAACATAGAAACGCATAGACCGGCTTGAATACAACATTTTCTCAAGTTTCTCTCCTGATATACACTCACCTAAGGGATTATTAGGAACGCCATACTAATACTGTGTTTGACCCCCTTTCGCCTTAATTCTACATGGCATTGATTCAACAAGGTGCTGAAAGCATTCTTTAGAAATGTTGGCCCATATTGATAGGATAGCATCTTGCAGTTGATGGAGATTTGTGGGATGAACATCCAGGGCACGAAGCTCCCGTTCCACCACATCCCAAAGATGCTCTATTGGGTTGAGATCTGGTGACTGTGGCGGCCATTTTAGTACAGTCAACTCACTGTCATGTTCAAGAAACCAATTTGAAATGATTCATGGTGCATTATCCTGCTGGAAGTAGCCATCAGAGGATGGGGACATGGTGGCCATAAAGGGATGGACATGGTCAGAAACAATGCTCAGGTAGGCCGTGGCATTTAAATGATGCCCAATTGGCACTAAGGGGCCTAAAGTGTGCCAAGAAAACATCCCCCACACCATTACACCACCACCACCAGCCTGCACAGTGGGAACAAGGCATGATGGATCCATGTTCTCATTCTGTTTACGCCAAATTCTGACTCTACCATCTGAATGTCTCAACAGAAATCCAGACTCATCAGACCAGGCAACATTTTTCCAGTCTTCAACTGTCCAATTTTGGTGAGCTCTTGCAAATTTTAGCCTTTTTGCTGCATACCTCGGTTGTAACGAGTGGTTATTTCAGTCAAAGTTGCTCTTCTATCAGCTTGAATCAGTCGGCCCATTCTCCTCTGACCTCTCGCATCAACAAGGCATTTTGGCCCACAGGACTGCCACATACTGGATGTTTTTCCCTTTTCACAGCATTCTTTGTAAACCCTAGAAATGGTTGTGTGTGAAAATCCCAGTAACTGAGCAGATTGTGAAATACTCAGACCAACAACCATGCCACGCTCAAAATTGCTTAAATCACCTTTCTTTCCCATTCTGACATTCAGTTTGGAGATCAGGAGATTGTCTTGACCAGGACCACACCCCTAAATGCATTGAAGCAACTGCCATGTGATTGGTTGATTAGATACAGTAATTCCATTAATGAGAAATTGATCAGGTTTTCCTAATAATCCTTTAGGTGAGTGTATAAGAATAAAGATTTTTTCTTGGCAAGATAACTGGTGTCTGGTCCAGTGAATCAAATAATAACGTGAAAAAGGCTTAATTCCAAGTCTGCAACTAGTATCAAAATTGGCCAATTAGCTTGTAAAAAAAACGTTGTCTTTAAAATGGATTTTGGTCTAAAAGTGAGGTGATCAACGCTATGCGTTATCGAATCAATCCTAATGTGAACACACCCATAGTTAACATTTGCTCAACAGTTCTTGTGGTCTTAGCACAGACCAAAACCTTTATATTCTCCCACCACTCACCTTTTCTGGAGGCCTCAAAGCTATCATAGATATTAATCCTCTGAATGTCGTACGTTAACGTCGTGTTGGGCAATAACGTCCTGTTTCTGTTGATGTTATTAACTGCGAATTTAAAGGCCAGTTCCTCTGAGCTGACGAGTGCCACCGGTCCATCCATCTGTTCAAAAATCCCCCCTAAAACACAAGAGAAAACACTGTCAGATGAACCAAAGCTGAACCCAGAGAAGAAGCTTGCATCGCACCCAAACCTCTGGAGGTGTTTTGCATTTAGAGCAGTCGGTGAGCTCGGTTGTGTACTTAAGGATCCTCTATCCGATCTCAGCAGAAAGAAAGAGTCTCTGACAGGCTTTTAAAGTTCAAGGCCATAATGGAGATGAGGAGAGTGAAAGAGAGAAAGAGAAAAGTAAATGGCCTCATCAAAGCTACCTTGCCTCCTTAAGGCCTGCAGGTCACCTTTCATTCCCTGATAAAATAAAAGAAGTAGATTCACACACAGGCCTATAGCTTGTGGATGGGATTTTTGCGCACAAGTTTGAAAGTTTAAAGCCGTTTCATAACAGTCTGCTGAGATTTTCAGAAATGCATTTTACGGCCAAGAAATTCCACCAATAGAAGAGCCGGAAAAGTAAACTCTGTGTTTATTGACTTTAGTGTGTAATAGAAGCCTATAAAAACAATAAAATGATAACATCTGGAGCATGCCGAGCAATCTTCAGCCCTTGAGGATTAATACTGTTAGACCTGCTTCACCTTCCCACAGTATATCAGCGATATGACGGTCTGGAAGACTTATGAGCTCAGAGAAATATTGGGAGACCAAGGTTTGTTCAGTTGTACACAATTCAATTTCACATATTATCACTTCATGCTATTTGGGATTTAAAATATTTTTAGCACTTTCCACAAATAAGGTACATAATAGCATCTGAAACTCAAACTGGAAACTTTTCTCTTTTGTACTTTTTCAGGAAATAGCCAGGGAAAGGCAGTGCATACTCTTCAGAAAACACTGATCGGCCAAATATACATATGAGACAAAATATTGGTTTATATTTATAAATGTATTTGTCCGACGAATGTAAGAATAAACATTTGTAAGTAATTTTTCTTACAACTCCTTTTATAAAAGAGTTAAAAATCTTGTGCATAGTGTCAACAAATAGTGTCAACACTTTTGATGCCATGCACTATTCATTCATCAAAACCTCATAAGGTTTTCATGCATCCAAAGAACTCCACATAAGATCCATTACATCATCAGCTCTTTCTCACAGAGGGCCCAATTTTAACGATCTGAAATGCAAGTAGAAAGCGCAAAAGCGCAAGGAACTTTGTGAGCGGGTCTTGGCCGCTGTTGTTATTTTACCGGCGGGATAAATGCCTCTTGCGCCTGGTGCAAGTTTAAAAGGGGTTGGTCTGGGGTAGCTTCATTATTCATAGGTGTGGTTTGGGCATAACGGAAACAAACCGATAAGAGCGTCATATCGCATTCCCTTTAAGAGCGTGATGAACGAGGTGCGCTTGTTCCATGGCGCAATACTATTTTAACGGCGCATTTACCAGAGGCGCTTCACAATCGGTTCACAGCCGAGGAGATTGATGTTCTCGTCAGGGCCGTAAAAGAAGGAGGCAGCCATCTTGTCACAGACAGGCTTTCTGGTGGGCTCTGTGGTATCTGATGTAAGAAACACTCTTATCTCGTTGAAATCTTGACGGATATACAAACGGTTTGGTTTCTTACAAACGTTATTAACGTTGCTATAATTCTGGATGATTATTTATTTATGCACTTATTATTCCTAAGTATGCAGTATTATAACTACATCTCTGTCGTTTATAACAAACCAGACCGTTTGAAAATCGGTATAAAATTGAGCAAGTTACGGTGATTTAAAAAGTACATGCACCATTAAAACAATGTTACCAGTGCCTGTGACAAGATGGCCGCCAGATGCTGACGTCGACTTCCATTGGCCAGCAGCGCGGACGAGATATCTAGCCTTTATATAGATATCTATGACAAACATACCCAAATTAGCTTCGGTTAAACATGGTTATTAGCCTGGATGCCAGCCCGAACCCCGCCCACAACATTTTTTGGTCGGGAAGTTCCTTGGTCGATTTTTTGGTCGGGACTCGATCCATTGAGGAGTAATTATGATCAGTCAAAAAATTAATGGGCCAATCAAATTGCCGGGACGGGCTTTATACGATGATGGACAGATGATCTGCAGGGACGTAAGCCTCCTTTTTGCACCGACCCGCCCAGGGAGGGCAAGTTTATTCCCTAGTTTGCTGGCGTGCGTCTGTGGAGGGAAAAAGCCCGCTCTGCGCACGTGCAAACTACCCAGACAGCAAACTGACATTGAATCAACGTGGAAACGACGTCTCTCATGACATTGAAACAATGTTGATTTGCTCATCGAATTAACGTTGAACCAACGTCAGACGCGGCATTCTTCAAAGCTAAATGAAATCGAAAATTGGTTTGCTTTCATAACGTTGAAACAACGCGTTGATTTCAAGTTGATTTTCCGTTAGTTTTGAAAGAATGACGTATCTGACGTTGGTTCAACCTTAATTCGATGAGCAAAACAATGTCAGATCAACGTTGTTTCGATGTCATATTTCCACGTTGATTCAATGTCAGTTTGCTATCTGGGTAGGAATGATACATGCGTCAGTGTTAGGGTTGGGTACCAAAACTCGGTGCCAATAGGGAACTGGTTCTGACGTAAACGGTAGTAACCAGACCGAATAAGAATGAAAATTTCAATGCCCAATTTTGGTGCCTGAGTCTGTGGCATGAGGCGCACACGTCAGAACGATTGTCTGAAGCCCATAGAATCACGATTTGCGCCGCCTTGTTGCGACCCTTAGTCACTTCATCATATTATATTAGCGAGCTCATCATCTGCTCCTCAGACTTTTCTGCCGAAAAAGGAAGCTTGTCAGCAGCGCGAGGAGTTTAGCAGCGAGCGCAGCGTATTGTTCCCTATTCAGAGAACATGGGTTACACAGAGACGTTCTCTTTCATATGTTTACTCAAAGCTGCCTAAGACGCAGTGGGAACAAAATATCAAACTGCCAAACGAAATACTTCAAACTTCAAAATATCAAACGAAATACTTCAAACTGTTCAGCCAATCAAGATCACAGGCTGGCAATATACAAATTAGTAATAAACCTACGTCGGTTCAGCAGAAGTGAGACTGGATTTACTGACGACTCGTTTCAGGGAGTTAAAGGAGTAGTTCACTATAAAAAAATAAAAAATAAAAAAAACATTTTGCTGATAATTTACTCACCCCCGTCATTCAAGATGTCCATGTCATTCTATCTTTCTTCTGTCGAAAATAAATTAAGGTTTTTAATAATAATAATAATAATAATAATAAGGGTTTTATCAAGCGAAACGAACGCTCATTTAAAAAAAAAATTCCGAATCTTTTCCCGAGTCAACTCGTTGATTTCGTTCGTTGAATGAACCAAATGACACGAAAAAAGATTTATTCATTTTGATGAACGAGTTCGAACACGAGAGTCACAAACGCGCATCACAAAACAGAGCAAGGCAGGCATTTGTGCTTATAAAACTTAAACTGTGTTATTTTTTTATTTTTTTTAATGAGCGATCGTTTCGCTTGATAAGACCCTTATTCATTGTCTGGAATCGTTTAAAACCCTTTGAACAGTTTGCACTGAAACTATCTTTTGGACCTTGAACCGTTTGGATCCCATTGAAGTCCATTATATGGAGAAAAATCCTAGAATGTTTTCATCAAAAACCTTGACATGGACATCTTGGATGACATGGTGGTGAGTAAATTATCAGCATTTTTTTTTTTAAAGTGAACTAATCCTTTAAGAATCACTTTTAAAACTTTCCAGACCTTACATTCACAAATAGGGGTGTGTTTCCCAAAAGCATCATTAGCCAACTATGGTCGCAAGTTATCAGCAGTTCAACAAATCGATGTTTCCAACAAACATTCGCAAACCGTACTGCAGAGTTGTGTGTTTGAGCGACAGATCTCGACCTGTGGATATTTTCTTGTTTGCATGACATGTGGACTCAATAAATCCAGATCTTGAGCAACAGAAGCAGTCTGACATTCAGTACAATCTGTGTGTTTATTTAGAATACATACAAATGTCATTTACGTCTTTGAGTTTGTCAAGAGATTTAAAGCGCCATTTTTGAAGAGTTCGCATGAACGATCGAGCCTATGATTGAATCTGGAAATAAAGCAAAATAACTGAGAAAAATTAGAAATATTCCTCAGATGCCATGTCTGCAATTTATATCAAAACATCTAGCGTCAATTAGATCTCAAAAAGCAGTTATTACTCCACACGTGCGTGACATCATTAACCAATGTGGTTGAACGACCAATTTGTGACACTATGGTTGCGTGACTCGCTAGTTGATTTGTTTTGTTGAGTTACATCTTTGTACTTTAAACTTTAAAATCGCCTGAATTTTCATGCTATGTTAATCCAACCCGATCTCACGGGAATTCGTACGAATTTTACGAGGTGGCTAATTCGTAACAATTCGTACGACCTCACTCGTACGAATTAGTACGATTTTGCTAAATCGTACATATTTTACGAATTAGCCAATTTGTATGAATTCGTACGAATGACCTACCCCTGACCCCGCCCCTAAACATAACCGTCACATGGGTTTAGACAAATCGTACAAATTCGTACGAGTGAGGTCGTATGAATTAGAACGAATTAGCCACTTTTGAATCACTTGTACAAATTCGTATGAATTGGTCGTGAGATAGGGTAGGTTAATCATATATATGTCATATCATATAATAACAGTTTTCCCTACAAAAACAGTAATGTTTTTCAAGTAATGGTTATTCAAACATAGAATAACCCTTGGGCTTTTTTTTACGTTCCTTTTTAACATATCCAACACTGTTGTATAATATCAAATAATAACAGTTTTCCCTACAAAAACAGTAATGGCACACCAACCCTGCTGAATTGGAGACAAGACGAACGCTATGCCAAACACAGAATAACCCTTGGGCTTTTTTTAACATTCCTTTTTAATATTTCCAATCCTGTCTTTATAGTCCGTAGCATGTAGATCCATAAACACATGAATATTTAAGAGTTCTTGAGTCAGACCTCAGCACAGGTCAAGAGCAACC